GCGGGGCGAAGCGGGGCGAAGCGGGGCGAAGCGGGGCGAAGCGGGGCGAAGCGGGGCGAAGCGGGGCGAAGCGGGGCCGGGAGGCGCCTCGGGTGATGGGCGTCGCTCTGGACGTCGAGCTCGCCCTCATCTTGGTAGACGAAGTGGGATTGGTGACTCCCACCTGCACTGCGGCTCTGAGGCTTACAAATGGTAGTTGGCCTTGCTTCTGCCACGTTGGGGCCCTCACGTTCCCTCAGGCAGCCCAGGTCATCGTCCAGCCACCCTCACTGAGACATTACCGAAAACTGACCGACTCCCTGTAACTTCTACACCCTGGGTCCGGGCCGGCTCTTGGAGGCCGCCTGGGCACTGTGTTTCCCTTCCTCACAGCAGCCTTTCAAATGACAACATCCCTGTCCACATGAAACCTACCACGACAAAGCCCCAGTTCCACACACCGTTCAGGAAATGGGGTTGTCTTCATCTTCCTGTGGGTCCCGAGGCGTATTTCCTCCAGTCAAGTTCTCTTTAAAAGAGAGGAGCAAATGGGTGGGCTGACAATTAAAGGTGTGCCTCAATCAAACGGCAGGTGCAACTCAGTGACGGGTCTGGGTGATTAATAATGGACAAAACACTTCTGCGTGTTATTTCACCTGTCCTCCCAATGACCTTGTGGTGACTTAAGGAAGCAAAGCAGAGGTTATTACCCCCACTGAATAAATGGAGGAAAAATTAAGTCCTGAGAATAGAAACAATTTATACAAGGTTGAACAGCCAGAATAGAACTATAGATTCCACAGTCTCTTCACGTGTCTGTCTGCCCAGCTGGCAAAGAATCTGGGTATCCATCCATCCGTTTCAAATCAGAAGCAATGTGCAGGAGGATGGAAGCTATGTTAACCAAACACATAAAATAAAGTTAAAATGCAAACAATTTTTAAAGCCATGCATGTCAAAGGGTATTAAATGATAGACAATGGTTGGAGAGGTGGTAATATATTCGCTCAACCAAGCACCATTAAATACAGTAAGTAGCTATGTTAGTTACAATACAGGTAACAGAAATGGGTAAGGCATGCATTTGCTTTCTAGGACCTCAGAATCTAATAAAAAAGACAAAGAGAGGTACCCATGATACCTGACAGTTAATGCCAAGTGAAAGGTACAAACCATATGCTCTAGGGATTCAGATGAAGTAAAAATCTACAAACAGGAATAGCAGTGGCATTTCAGTCCCGACTTGAAGGATGAGAAAGTGTCCAAAGGGAAGATGCAAGAAACTAGTATTCCATATGGAGGGCAGGTTGAGGAGCAGAGTAGCAGAGATGAGGATACTGACATAACCAGCCAGAATGCAAGGGTTTTTAAAGAAGATGAAGCCACAAAGGAGAGTTAGGCAGAAGGGCACTGAACAGAAGTTAAGGAGAATGAATTTTACTTGGTAGGTGGTGAGAAGCATGGAAAATTGGCATAGGAGAGTGACACTATCATAATGGTGGTCCAGGCAGGCTGATCTCTCAGGGGCATATAGAATACATTGCATTCAAGGCAAGAGGTATTTGTTATCTTCCCATCCCAACAGAGCTTGAAGGGGTCAGATTTCAGAAACGGCTTTTGAAGGTCCTCAAATGACACAGCAGTACTGCATTTAATATAGTAGTAAATGGTTAGAAACTTGGTTTGAATCCCAGTTCCACCCCTTGCCAGCTGTGTGACCTTGGGATGTCACTTAACCTCTCTGTGAAATAGGGTTAGCAAATACCTACCTTACAGGGCTTTAGGGAAGACAAAATAAGATCGTATGTGTGAAAATACTTGATAAATTACACAGCGGTGCACGTGCTGGTGCTTTCTATTTGCAGAGTTAAAATGACTTTCTGTGGGCTCCCTACAGGCAGGAGGATGGAAATGGGAGCCTGACATTCAGTCTCAGAGGCGCTCACCTTCCAGGTCCAGAGCTGCGGATGCTGTCAGACACCCTTCGCAGTAGCAGATGGTGCTCACAGTTGGGACCCTGTCAGTGCCCAAGGACACCCAGGGCCCTGCTGGGCTCCCACCTGCAAGCTCCCTTCCTAGACAATGCACCTGTGCTCAAGCTCCTGGGGCCACCAGCGTCTGCCAAGAACAGATCATGTCTGCAAAGGGAGATATAAAGCCACAGCTCAGTGCACAGAGGCTCCTAAAAACCTATGATATTAACAAAGGTGATTTGAGCATTCAGGAGGTCCCAGGCACCTTACTATGTGCTGGGGATGCAGCAGAGAACAAAACAGATGTGACTTCTGCCCTCCTGAAGCTTATGGTCTAGTGCCTGGAGGGGGCGGGGTGGATATGTGAATTACTCCGTGTTTTTTTAAACGCCGGTTATGTTTTCTTTTTTAAACGCCGGTTATGTTTTCTTTTTTAAAGATACATCTGTAATATACCTTAATAAGGTATAATTTTTCCTCCTAAGCTTTAATTTAATTAATTTATTTACCTTTTTAAATTGAAGTATAGACAGTTATAATGTGTCAGTTTCTGGTGTACAACATAATGTCCCAGTCATGCGTATATATACATACATTCTTTTTTTTAATGACTCACAAACTTGCATGAGGCTTTATTACTCAAAAGCTTTTCTTCCACCCATTTCCTGTTCCTAATAAGGTTTAATTTTATACAATAAAAAGCACGGATCTTATATGTTCAGTTAGGCAAGTTTTGACACCTATCTACATTCATGTAACCACCATCCAAAACAAGATACAGAACATTTCCAAAAGCCCCAAGTTCCCTTCGAAGTGCCTCCTTCCTGTCAGTCTCCTACTCCCAAGGTTAACCATTGATCTGATTTTAATCACTGTGTCTTAGCTTTCCTGTTTCTGGACTTAATACGTATGAAACCATACAGAATATACTCTTTTATATCTGCTTCTTTTATTCAGTGTAATTTTGTCTTTTAGCTTCATCCATGTTGTACGTATCAGTTGTTCATTCCTTTTAAGTGATGAATAGCATTCTGTTGTATGATTATATCACGGTTTGTTCCTCACTTGTTGATGGACATTTGAATTGTTTTCTGATTGGCTTTTTAAGCTGTTATGAACATTTTTGTACCAGTCTCTTTTGTAGAGATGTGCTGTCATTTATATTCAATAAATACCTTGGAGTGGAATTGCTGGTTGAGAGAGAGAGAGAGAGATGTTTAACCCTGTAAAAAACTGCCAGAGTTCTTCATGATGGTGGTACCATTTTGTGCTCCCACCAGCAAAATATGAGAGTTCCCGTTGTTCTTGCTGACATCTGCATTGTCAAGTCCTTTCAGTTTTAGCAACTTGAGTGGCTATATAGTGGTGTCTCATTGTGGTTTTAATTTGCATTTCCCTGGTGATGAATAATGTTGAGCCCCATTTCAAATGGCTTACTGGCCATTTGTGTATCTAATTCCATGAAGTGTCTGTTCAAATCTTTTGCCATGATTGAGTTGTAGGAGTTCTTTACATATTCTAGATACAAGTCTTTTGTCAAATATATGTATTGAAAATATTCTTCCCATTCTATGACTTGCCTTTTCATTTTCTTAACAATGTTTTTG